ATGTTGACATATTGTAAGAAAATCATGTTTTAATATTGATCGAAAATCGAGACTATGAGTATGAAAATGAACAAGAAGAAGAGAATCAAAGCGAGAATTGAGTCCATGAAATGCATGAAGAAGATGAGCGGAAGATAAAAATTCGAATAGATCAATAAGTAACTCGTTTGCCAATGATTCAAGATTCATGTTTATTTCTTTTGCTTGCATATTCCTTCAATGTTATATATGTTGTGTTCAATCCCAAAAGAAGAAAAAAAAGAACGTTCGACCCTAGTTTTTTTTCTTTTTCTCCTTTCTGCAAATTTGCTTGTTGTGTAGAAGAACGTCGATTCTTATTTTTCAGGCGCTTTCAGTCTGATAGAGATTGGAGAACGATAAAGAAAAACTTCTTTGTTTTTTTTTTCTTTTTCTGCGCTATATAGATTCAGAATGTCATTCGTCTATGTCTATACTAAGTATTTTTCTATTGCCGTGAAGTCTTGCAGAGAAAAACAATGATTTTACAAAATGAAGGCAGATATTTCAAGAAAAATTTTTCATATTTTGCAAAAAATATGTGAAGAGCAAATATATTCTTTCGTAGTTTACTTCACGAATTCTTCACACATATGCGTGTCATCGACACAATCTCATCTTACTTTATAGTAATCAAATTCAGATCTGTCAAAAATGAGCTAATTTCCATAAAACTCGTGTTTGAAGATTCTACAAATAGATTTATTTTTATCAAACGATTAAAAAAAATTATTGCGAAATCAAAATATTTATGATCGTTTGTATGAAATATCAAAACACGTATCAGCGAACTTGGTCAATATTCTTTAGTCTTCAATTGCCATCATTTACTAATCCTATTTTTATCTCGTATGATCTATAAGGTTTTCATAGTATCTATTGAATAATAACTTTAATGATATCTCACCTATCATATCATACAAGTGTTTAGTTTTCTAATTATTGTTTTATTAAGAATCGCTGTTTTATTAGTTGAAAGCTAATGGTAACATTGAGACTAGAAAGAAAATCTATTTACGAGCATGTTTAACGTACTGTTGATAAGTAGAACTTTTATTGAAATTCTCATCTTATTATCAAAACTTGAATTTAATTTTATATTTAAATATAGTTGATCTCCCATATACATTTATGCACAGAAATGCGATTTCTTCTACGAGACGATACACAAGTTAGAATCAGTTTCAAAAACAACGTCTGATAGTTTTTGTTGAATAATACATTTCAAATTATCTACCATTCGAAATCTGAGTCCGCTATGACATGTTTGTCAGTAAAATTAGCTCTTAACATCAATCAAGTTCGTATAATTTGAAATTTTGTTATTTGTTGAACGACTCTTGGTATACATCAGCTATTGCACTCGCTCTTACTCCGTATCACAACATCCTTTTTTTCTTATAGTTTGTTGGAAATGTGAACCTTTTATTATTCAACAGATACATCTAATCAATGAAGACTTTATTATATGTTTGATGGAAGAACGAATGATATTAGTATGATTTGTCAATCATACGTACCTTTCTTGATTACTCTGAAAATTAATAGTTGTTGACACATGTCCGCAAAACTGGTTCTCATCCAATGTCGAGTTGACGATAATAAACTATTGTAATCGTCTGTAATTGTATCGTGTTTAGGTGGGCTTACGAATTGATTGCTCTTGAAAAAAATCAGACAGTATAATCAAGGTGAGGAAAAAGGAAAGAAGTGGTATCAGTGAGATGGCATAATTGCAAACAAAAGAGTAAAGATGATTCATCAATTCATGATCTTGAAGAAAGACAACAACAGGATATCGAGAACCATGTAGTGCATATCAATAGCTGAAAAGTCAACTTCTTGTTTTTATACAGAATTCGCGTGTGTCTCATTCGATACTTTTGATAAACAATCCGTTGGAAGAAGATTGCATTCATCAGAATAACATTCACCAGTCAGATATCAGGCTTATCAAATTTTTATTTTCAAATGAATTGCACAAGAGTTTCAATTCGGTACATAACTTTCCTTCTGGAACATCTATTTTTATACGAAAAGACATGAAAACAAAACTTTATTATTAATTTTGTTTTACAAAGAAAATACTTTGACAGTTAAAATATAAGAAAACATAATTTATTTTTATTAGAACATCAGTATATCGCAACAAAGATTTAAAATACGGAATAGACTATTGTACCTTCAAATGGAATACATTTGACTGTCCTTAATTGGAAATATGCGCAATAGAGTAGTCAATGTTGGGATTAATAAAATGGCTATACTAAGTGATAGTCAAAGTGACTCCATTGATAAAAATTTTATTGTAGAGATTTTTTTCCTCGAAATCTTTGTTTTTTGATAATTCAAATGAATTTAATGTCGTTATTTATAAAAATTATGAAGCAAAAAATTTAATCCATCGCTTCGTGATATTTGTAATGAGGGTGTGGGTATTTTCTCCACCCACATCCTCACCCCACACGCAGCCCTTCTTTGAACTCGAACCGCACACATTCTCCTATTCTGACAGATATCGTACCATAAGACTTGAAAGGGCATCTAATGTCGGCTGAACACCTGAGATTATTGAGATCGATAGTAACACCTATTGAAGACAACATAATTCGTTTTATTTTTATATATCTACATATCTAGTCATGCTATTTACTTGCTGTGATCGATGAAAACATTTGAAGTTTTTCAAGAATCGTATATTTGTCAGATGAATCAAGAAAATTCAAAGAATCGAAATGAGACAGCGCTTACCATCATATGCAACTATTAAATATTTTGTATCCAAAACTGATATAAAAACACTATTTGATTCAGCATCATCAGCATTCTGTATTAATTCATAAATAAATCGTTTGATAATTCTTTCAACGATTCAGCTTGATTTATTGCTTGATCAGAAACTTTATAATCATTATTTTTTGAAAAAAGATCTTCGACATAAGATTTTAGACCGCTCTTTACTATCGTCATTTTTTCAAAACTTCTTTAATCATATAGCATAATCTGATATACATTATGGAAACCCTTAACAATGAAGACAAATTGCCATAGGTGTCTTCATTGTCTTTTTCTTATCAACGTTGATAGACTTGTATCGATTAAAAAAAAAGAACGAAACGACCGCCAAGTATGCGGATACAAGTTTTGTATTTCCTAGGAGGAATACTGCATTTATGTTAATCTCGAATCTTGAATTCAATTAAAACTTCAAATTTAGAATTCAAACTATCGATTTTGCGGTTTTAATTTTCCTTTTTCGATTTTCACATTTCGAGTTTCAACTTTCAACATTCAATTTTCCACTTTCAAGTTGGCTGTGCGTGTGTGTGGCTATTGTGGAAAGAAGGAAAATGAATGTTTTGAAGAAGTCTCATAAATCAGGTGATAGTAATCCAATAAATCAGCCACTTTTCTTCATCAGTGATAATTCTGCATTGAATTTCACTCCACAACATATATCTTCACTCATAATCTCATGAAGGAGTTGCAAAAATTTTCTGAACACATTGAAGTCAGTAGTAGATATTTTGATTCATCTATAAAACGAAATGCTTCTTCGACTTCTCTGTTGATTGTACATAGAAAAACTCTTTTCACGATTTTAGATTGATCTGGTTTTGCAAGTGACACATTGCGGAGATAAAAATAAAATATACGCTTTTTTACCAGTTGATAGACCATGTAGTTTAGCACCAAAACAGCTTTTCAAGTTTTAAAGGTTCATGTTTCCTTTGATATTTAGATTTTTTTCAACAAATGCCTCTCCACTAATCATTTTCAAATAGTTTAGACTAATTTCTCATGAAAGATCAATGATATCAAAGATTCATCAAGATGGACACAAGTGAATAATCGATCGCAGCTAAAATCGAAATCTAGACATGAATAAGTAATATATATAAATATATCATAGATGATTTATCATTGATAATATGTTAAAGTAAATTCTCTAATTTAACGAAAATTAAAATTAAATTTAGAACAATATATCAGATGTTTCGAGCATTCAGTTATCGGAGTGAAGCATGGTCATCATTACAATCTGTGTGTAAACGTTTAAAATAACGTTACTCAGTTTGTGATTAAGCTTATCATTATCTATTGCTCAAATTCCGCATTTCGTTATATTCTTGAACAGATTTTTGATTAAAGCTGACGGCGAGACAGTAATGAACCGGCATGAACCATAGAATTTTTAGAATGGAACGATTACTAACGTTGTTTTATAATTTCTTTGTGTTTATAGTTAATCGTTTCCCATTGATCAACATTATGGTTTTGTGGTTATTGATTACTAGCACACATGGATGTGTCGAACTAGGGTGTGGGTGTGATATCATTCTATTGTCATCCACACCCACACCCATGGGAATATTTTAATGGAAACATTTTTGCGAGAATTTTCTAATGTCTTTACGGCATTTTGTCGTTCTCTTGTCTGCTATAATGAATCATTTATTTACACACAAAAGCAAACGTGCGTTTTTTTTTCTTTTGAGTAAAATAGAATCGCAAGGTAAATGTTGAGATGTATTTTATTCATGGTTTTTACAACGTATCATTTTTATGAGTTGTGAAATTACCTTGTAAAGAATGTTTCATATGATGCAAATATTGTTTAAGTCATATGAAAAATTAGTTTTTGCTCTGTTGAAAAATGTTACATTAATTTTAATCAACTTATTAGATGAGTTTTTGACAATAGAGTAGTGACATGTTAGAGATATCTGTAATTTTGTTTTTCGATTATTCGTTGCTGATAAAAGATATAAACGTCACTTTTAAGACAATGATAACTTGCCTCTTGCATGAGATATACGACAAAAAAAAAAACTTTTTTTTATTCTTTCTTGTTGACGTTTAGTGATAACATGATAGTTTCTTTTGTTGAATATCATTTTGACTAGGAAGTAACACTAGAACAGAATATAATTATTTAGTTTTCATTTTAGACTATCGTTCAATTTTCTATAATTTCATCTATGGCATCTTCAATGAAATGGTCTGTACCAGAAACGATTGATATTGCTAAACATAAAAGTCAACAAGAATTTGTTGTTATCAGTTGGAATGTATTACATATGATTCATGAGATTAATTATGTATATGATTCCAGTCCAGTAATCAATCGTTATTCGATTAACAACGATTTTTCAAATGAAAAAATACGACTTAATGATATTACAAAGACATTAAGTGAACTACTAATCAAACACTCTACCATGGAATGTTTCATTTGTTTACAAGAAGTTCCCGGTGATTTACTGCCAATGTTACATGAAATGTTCGATTCTCATGCGAACTCAATCTTAGCATGTAAACCAGTAATGCATATACAAACTTATTCACGTAAACCGCGCATTCGGGTAAGACAAGGAAGCTCTGTCTACAATGATTCGAATGAAAGTCTCGTCACGATTCATTATAATCCAAAGATCATTTCTATTGAAAAAGCACTTGGATTGGAACATGAAAAAAAATCTGTTCTCTACAATGATCAAGTTCTATGGACACCTTGTCCTACTGATGCTGGTAAAGGTGCTCTTACTGTAACAACCATATCTGGTTTAAGTGTTGTGAATGCGCACGTGCCATATAACAATCAAGCTGCTTCACTATTGTTGAGAAATATCTTGTGGCCTGAAAATAACAATCCATTCGTATTTGTTGGTGACATAAATCGTGGTTCTAAAGCTTTTATGAATATAATCACCAAGATTACTGTTAGAAAGCCTTCCTCCAATCTACTGTTTCCTATCACAACACACAAGCCTACTAGAGTTGGTTTAAGCCCGAACGGTACTCTCTACAAGGTATGGATCGATCATTATCTGGTCTCAGCGTCACTCAAACATTTAGCCACATCTCCTGCAGTGGTCTACGATGATATCGGTGATATTTCTGACCATTATCCCATCTTACTTCAGTTCAAAAATACATAGAATCTGCAACCAAGGACACTTAACGCTTTTCATTGCCTTCTTTCATGACTTGCTCGATAGTGTACTACATATACAGGGGGTCCCAAAATTATAGCACCTCCCTTTATTTTTGAAAATTTTTAGCAAAAATGAATATCTAGATCAAATCTAAATAGTGATTTAGATAGCCCTTGAAATTCTCTA